GCTCGGGTATCCTTAGGCAATACAGTTTGCAATGCTTAAATGACAAGGGAATAGAAATCCCCCTCTGGGACAAGGCACAGGTAACAGCAAAACCATCACCAGCTTCATTGAGGTTAGAACCTGAGAACCTATGCACCTTTTCAAACATGGAAGAACCAAGCCCTGCAGCTTGACCATGTCCCCTGGGTGTGACAGAGGGGAGGGACTGAGAATCTGACTGCAGCCAACAGGGGGCCAGGTTTGATGGACTCACAGGCCCCTCCTCTTCTTTCAAGTTCAAATGATCTAAAAGCAGAAAAGGGATCAGCCACCTTTTTCAATCTTAAAAAAAGCAAACCCAATCATCTGAATGATTTCAACAAATTAATTTGTCTTGGATTTAAACTTATACTACCCAACTTTTATGACATGTTGCCAAAGGTAGGAACCTGCTTGTTTAGGGTTCCATCATTCCCATATTGATTGCAAGACTCTTTTCCAGGTATCAGAAGCATTTGTGACTCCAGCGTGGCACCAGGTAACACCAGGTTCATCGTGGTTAGCTCGGGTCCCAAGGCAGCCTGGTGGACGATGCTCAAACACTCGGTCTCTACCAAGGCCCAGTAACAGGCCAAGAGCTCTCTCAAAGGAGACCAGTTATCTGTAGATGATAGCAGGGTCTTGCCCCAAAATTCTAAGGGCTTCCACTGGGATTCCTCTATAGAACCCAAGAGCTCTAAGCAGTATCTCTATCAACCACTGAATGTTGTATCTGCTGCATCATTTAGCTCAAGTGCCAGAACAATGTGAAAGGCAGTCTGGACCTATTTGCTGCAGATCCTTCTCCTGCTCTGAGCCCCACCCAAAGAACATTTTCAGGTCACTCGATAGATGGGCTGGAGTGACATACCTGAATGAAAATGGTAATAACACTCCAAATCCAAATAGGCTCACCAAGCACGGCACCTCTTTCTTGGTTGTAGGAGGGGCCAGATGCAGTACCTTATCCTTAGTTCTTACCTCGTCTTGCCTACCAGAGCCCTAGAACTTTCGCTGAGGTAAAAGGCCCCTGAGTTTTTTTCAGATGTATTTCCCACCCTCTAACATGCCAGTGTCTTACCAGTACATCCTGGGCAGTCACTCCTGTGTGCCTGCTGGGTCAGTCAGCGTGGTGTGGCAGTGTAATGGACCAGAGGGATTTTGTGTGGAAGGAAAAAAAGTGATCAAAACTCCCTGTGAATTAAGTTGTGACACTGAGCTAGGGAGTTGATGTACGCTGGGGTAGGACAGTGAAGGTGTATTGCAAACTGCTCTGGTGAGTCCTATGGATGGAGATGAAGAAAAAGACATTGCCAGATCAGTAGCTGCCAGGAGATGTGGTAATTTTCTCCAGCAATGAAACCATATCTAGCTCAGCAGCTGCAATGAGTCACCACCTGGTTAAACGGAAGGCAATCACTATCCTCTCTGATGTATGTGTCTTTTGCACAGACCAGACACGAGAGTTGAACGGGAATGTGGTAGGAACCACCACTGGTGTACCTTTCAAGTTCTTAGTGGTGGCGTCAATCTGTGCAATCCCTCCAGGAAGTGGTATTGCTTTTGATGTGCTGTTTTCCAAGTGGAGGCAGCTTTAGTGGTTTGCATTAGGACTTTCCTACCATAATAACTCTCACTCTGCAGGTCAGGGAACCAATGGAAGGATTCTGCCCACTAAGTATCAACATCCAAATTATGAATTTTGGAACTGGAGACATGAACACAGGATGGTTCAGAGAACTTCAGGACTCACTGTGAGTCAGACTTGAACTAAAAATCCATGGGTCACCTGACCTCTACTTCACCTTACTTCAGTCCCTGGTGAGCCACAGTGACATTTTGAGTCTTCTGGAATCACTGTCGATTCAGAGCCAGTGTCTGATAGTCCCTGAAAGAAATGATTATTTTCTTTTTCCAGATGCACAGTTACCCTAGGCAAAGCCTGGGTAGGTCCCTTTGGGAACGGATTAACTAAAGATAAATAATATAAATTTTCAGTAGTGTACCAGGGTTTTTCCTGGTGGTGACCCAGCATCTCCTTCATTCAAGGGGCTCTGATTTGCAGATTGGCTTAAGTCTGGGGATTGGTGGAGGAGCCACAGTTCTGTTTTGCAATTCAAGTGAGACTCTTGTTCACTTGACCTGGAAGTTGTTTGCTTGTACTGATCAAGTGAGAACTTAGTAGGTTTCCCCTCTAGGAGCACTGGGATGAAGTAGTCAGCACCCTAGATCTATCTGTACAAGCCAGATGTGGGTTGCTGCTCTGTCTCTGTTGGCCATTGCAGTAATCCCACTTATCTTGCCTTTGACAGTCTGGTGCCCTCCCCTTCATTTCCTGCTTCACCAGGATCCAATTATTCCCACTGCATAGCTGCAAGCTAAGGACAAGCGCTGGTGCAGCCTGGTGAGATATTTTTGTATATCCTTAAGGATGCCCATGGTGCAAGTAGCTGTCCAGATAAGATTAAGTGATTGGTCTATGCAGCCCTGGGGCAGCGTCACTGCCCCGGGTATGACAACAGCAACTCTGCCACTAACACAAAGGGTTCAAAATTGGGCCTCCATTGTGTACTATATAGACTGAAATAGCCTGCCAGCACGGAAGCACCTCTCAGAGTTGATATGTCCCTCTGATGGTGAGCAAGGATCCTTAGCACTAGGGCTAGCCCCTGCCTTTGTCTGACAAATAGATCATGTTGGTCCATCCTCTGCTGCCATCTGGTGTCCACAGCTGGCATGGTTGGTATGTGGCCCTTACCCTTACCCACATCTGGGAACCTTGGCATGCATGGTGCTCCAGCCAGACTATGCCCCGTCCGCAGACAAGGGCAGGTGTTCACTTGACCCACCCATGGTGGTGGTATTAGGCAGAGCATCACTTCCAGCTGCCCTGTTATGACTTGTCTCTTCCAGATTCTTAAGGACTTTGATTTGTCCCTGCAGTGGGAACTTACTAGAAAAAAGCTCACTTGTGCTCTTCTCCCTCTTGCCTCTTGGAACACGGCAGGCCTGAAGGCCTCAGCACTACTACATGTGCCCATTGCCTGACAACCTGTTTCCACTGATTACTGCCTGGCTGGCTCCTTTCTGCCTGCAACCTTCGTAGCTGAAGTTCCTGACCATCCAATGTTGAGAAGCTCTTCTGTAACTCCATCACTTCAACCTACCTTAATCCTCTGAAAAGCAAAGACTTCTGTCCTTTTTGATTTTCCATCTTTAAGTGGGGAATGCAGGATCAGATTTGCACCATGAGATGATACAATTGTATATTAAGAAAGGACAGGCACTGGCACAAAGCTGTACAGAGGGAGGGCAGCAGGCAAGCGAGTGCAGACCCTGGGGAAGTAGTGCAGGTGAGCTGCTATAACAAAAGGCCCCCTTCGCTCATAAACTGATCTTTCAGGTTTGTGCCAGGCAGTTCTTCAAATTTAACTCCTGACTTCTAAGATCTGACCAGTGTGGCCATTTGCAGTGGAACAAGTCCAGCATAAGCATCTTTGTTTGATACTTGATTCACTTGCCACCAACCTAACCCAACACTGAACTCACTGAATTGCAAAGGAGGCTGGAAAATGTAGTTCCCACCCAGGCACCCCCTTAAGTCCAGCCAAACTCAGGGGGCTGGAAGCCTAAAGGGGAGAATGTCACACTAACCAAGAGATACTATGAACACAGCAAGAAGAGAGACTCTGTAGGGACAGAGAACAAGCCTTGGTGACCAAGGGTGGGAGGAAGGGAGAGAGACAGCAGACTTGGTCAACTCTGGCTCAAGGGCAGTGAGGGTGGAAGAGCAGGAGTCAGAAAGTGGAGGAAAGGGTAGTGGTTTAAAGCAGGGGTCAGAGGCCTGTGGCCTGTGGCCTGGCTTTGGAACACTTTTTTAGAACTCAGCCAGGTCCACTCACTCACAGATTGTTGATGGGCCATGTCTGTGTATGACAGAGCTCCATGCAGACCACGTGGCCCACGAAGCCCAACACAGGACTGCCTGTCCCTTCACAGGGAAAGACTGTGGACCTGTGGGTTAAGGCATATCAGGTGGAGATGTGCCCTGGACCTGTGGCTGCTCATCCTTGTGACCAAGGATGAGTATCATGAGGACCAGGGGAGGCAGGTGAACCGTGAGGGTGGATAAAATTGTCCAGGGAGACAGGGAGGGGTGGACCAGGAGAAAATCTGGGAACACCAACTAAATTTAAGGACAGGAAAGAAGATGAGCATATGGAGAACAGAGTAAAGCCCAGGAAGACAGAGGGTTCCTTTGGGAGCCTCAAAAGATGTTGATATCTTTACCAGGGGTCCACAAAGTCCTCTCCAAGGAATCGAGTGTGGGACAGAAGCCATTTCACAGTGGCTGAACCAACGGAGGTGAGCAGGTGATTAGAGATGTGTTAGGAATTCTTTCATGAAAATTATTTGCAAAAGGGAGAAGGAGAGAGAAAATGAGAGGGTGTTCTCTGGGGCTGAGGAAAAGATGGGATCTTTAGGACCAGATCCCACCACTAGTGCATTTGGCAGTAGAAGGTACTGAAAAGCACATGATGAAAGGTGCAGGACTTGAGCTGTGGCGTATTACAATCCGTTGTTTAAATAATTGAAACTTTTTAATGTGGGATATAAAAATTAGGTTTTAAGAAAACAAGGGACGATTTCCTCTAAAAGAACTCTTCACTATCTGGCCTCTTGTGCATAGTTTAACAAAAATCCCATTTGTGCACACAGATATTTAGGAGTGTATGTGTAGCTGTGAGTGATCTGAATGTGGATATTGCTGCTTAGACGGTTATCTAAGAAATAGTCATTTTAGATCTGTAAAACCGAGGACCTGAAAGGCAGCTGACTTTGGGGAAGTGGGGTGCATTCTCTCTGTACTGGGGGCACTTGGGGGATGGGAAAGTAGTGGATTAAACAGACAACCCCAGGTCACGTTTCATCGCCTAGAATTTGACAGTGTCTGGGTCTACTCAAGGAAGGAACACACGGACTGCAATTTCCAAGCCCCCTTTTATTGAAATAAATCAGGACAGTGATCTTCACTCAAAAGACCTGGTACAAAGCCCACATCTTGAATGTCATGCATGACATCACTGCTACTTTGGTTTGACAGTATTTCATTGCCCATCACTTTTGAAAAAGGCAAAGACAATGTGAGTAACCCAAAACAAACAGATACTGACTCATGCTTTCATATATTTCTAAGGACCAAGCATGAAGGCTTTATTCATGTTGGACACCCAAAATCTAAGAACCATGACAGGGTCTTCCCCTGTTTCGCTTCAGAGTCCCCTCTCACAATAATCAGATGACATCCAGATGATTCTCATCCTGAATCAGAAGATTAAGTGTACACTGCACTTGGCATCTGTTCAAACATCTCCACCCTCTGCCAAACAGCATTCCTTCTCTCAAGATCTCTCTGTTTTGAACTTGTTACTGTAATAGAGTGGGGGTACTCTGGGACTGCTTTTGTATTCTGTTCCCAAACACCGTGACCATTCATTGACAAAGTGGATGCAAATCCTAGGTGAAGGACATGCTGTAGGTTTCACATACTTTTAGTGAAAATGGATTATTTTCAACAGCACCAATAAATCAACACTGACCCGATAGTAAGCTCATTTAGAAGAAAAACCTTACAATACTCATTTGTTTAAAAAAACCCTAGCTGTGGCAAAGGTGTATATACAATCTACTATACACAAAATACACATTTTCTGTAAACTGTATGTGTCCAGCACACTCTACCTATGCGAGTAAATTAGAATCTCAGTATTAATATTGGATGGACTGTTTGACCCAGAAATGTGCCCAAACCCATATGGTATGGTATCTAAATAGAAATTCAGTATTAAAAAAAAATAATAAACAGGAGAGAAGATTATCCTTGAATAGTGATGGACACATGGACTAGGAACGTGACTGTGTTCATTCCTAACAAAGCTCTATCCAGAGATCAAGAAGTCCCCTTGAGTCACTGTGTTGCCACCAGAGCTCCTCCTGAATTTGGAAAGTTCTCGAAGACCCAGATTTACCAACAGTCTCATTCCTTCTACGTTGTGTGTCTTGATGCTGAAACAAAGGTCAGACAAAATTTCAGAATCTGGCTTTGCCCTGGCCAAGAAACCACGAACACATCATCCTAAATGATTCCTACAAGACTCCAGGGACAACTGGTTCTAGAGGCCATTGTCCTGTCCAACCTTATTTGTCCTGACCCATCATTTTAGCTTCTGAATTATTTTTTTTTAAAACCAAATGATCACAGAAATGTTTGTTGTAAAACAATATAAAATATTTTTATATTTAAAATATAAACATATCTAAAGAACAAGATACATGGTTAGTGCATAAATACTTAGGAACTTATTTTTACTATAAGAAAAAATTCTTATTATGATAAATATACAACCATCATGTCTGTGTTTTTGTATGTATTCATACATACACAGGACCATATATGACACGGTCATGTAGAGTCGTTATTAATAAACGTATACATATATATGCAAAATCAAACTGTCTAACCCATAATTGACCTAGATTTTCCACTTAAGATGATCTATGTTTTAATAATCTAAAAAAATAAAAAAAAACTATAGTACTATAAATTATTTTACATGAAAGCATCAAACTTACCTCAAGCGATTTCAACCTCAGAAATAATATTGTAACGAGCTAAAAGACAAAAAAAATACATAAATATAACACTTGCAGGCCAGGCCCTGGGCGGCGTCATCACCTGGCTGAGGAGATATAGAGAGAGACCGACAAGCAGAACTGAGGCTGGAACGGGTAAGGGTCACTGGGAACATGTGTCCAAAATACCAGACCAGCAGAAACCAGACCCCACAGCAGACGGACCACCCACCAGAAGCAGCAGAAGCCCAGCTGCAAGGACCAGAAGACAGGAGCGAATGACAGTTCTTCGGGGGCCCTGTTACCACGTGTGGCCAGGTGTGCACACCTGTGCGTCCAGATGGTGCACGTCCTTACCGGCTCTCTGGTTAACAGTCAACAGTCGTCCTACACTATCCTGTCTCCACAATCACAGCCTTGACAACCAGAACAGGGTGTGTGAGGGTGTGTGAGGGTGTGCGAGGGTGTGCGAGGGTGTGCGAGGGGAGACCACAAACTCCCTTCAGTTTGGATCCCACTCCCACCCTCTGTGACTTAGGGCATCACAGCCCTTTGGACCCTGCAGGATGTGCCAGGCACATCAGCACTCAGTGCTGCGGAGACCCCCAGGAAGAGGGGAAGAGCAGTGGGGCGTCAAAGCCCCTGAAGGGCAGGCATTCCTCCAAACTCATCATTTAACTTTGGAAGCCACATCCACTTACTCCTGTGTGTCTTTTCTTTTTTTTATGCATTCAATAAACACGCAGGCTCTATTGAAGGGCTCAGGGGTCCCTGTGGAAGGGTACAGGCAGGAGCCTGCTCAGGGTCCTGCTTTGGCCCACAGCATCAGGCCCTGGGCTGAACACTATGAAGGCCAGTGGGCTCTGAGATCATCATCAGGGGTGCTGGGCACACAAACTGACCTACTGGGTCTTCTGCCTAGCCATGCCCTCTCTGAGGAACTCTAGACCAAACATCTCACCCTACCTTGGAAAAGAGGGTGTTCAGGAGACTTCAGAACCAGGTAACAAGCAACATGAACCAATTCAAGCAACTGGAACTAATTCTGGAAGCTTCTGATATGAAAGGGACAATAGGTCCTTGGATGGGACAGCTGGAGGCTATGAGAATTCAGGCTGTGAACTACAACCTCTTGGGCACTCACCCTGATAAAATAATAACAGAAGCCAAGGAATGACAGCAGGGCACGCGTCTCCCAGAGCAAGCACCACGCCGAGGTGGCACGCGTCAAGTTGGTGTGGATTCACGCTCCAGATCGCAATCAACACAGGGCTCTGGCAGCCCGACCCACAGATAAGAGGCAGCCAGTAGACAGAATCCGCTTGACCCTGTGGCTCCAAGGCCTGGAGTATCACACAGCCAAAGGGCCCCATGCACTTTCCACTAGGCCAGCGCGGCCAAAGCATGTCACTGAGGGTGCGGCTGCTGCTCCCTCAGTGTCACTGGGGTCCCCTTCTGCCATTTCCTGCTGCAGCACTGGGCTGCAGGAAGAGCACACTCACAGCTTCAGCAAGGAGAAGGCCACGGTCCACGGGAGTACCTCCTTGGACCTGTGCTGTGCTTTTCCTCAACATGCCTTTTTTAAACATTACAAAGGGAAACGTTCATCTGAAACCCAGATTTATCTCTTTTCCAGAGAAACTGGACTTTGAGGTACCATTTGCCTCTTTCTTACCCCTTTTTCTGACAACTTCTCTGAGTCTTTCCACTTCTGCCTAGGGAACCTAACTACTGCTCTGGCCTTTGGGAGAACAGGAGAAAGAAGAGCTCAGATCCTAGCTGGCCTCCGACTGGTGTGGGACCTGGGGCCTAGTGTTTATATCCCCAAGTCCACCTGAAAATGGGGGGGTAGCTGTGAAGGGCTCAGAGGACTGTGCAGGATAAAGCAGGGCAGATGGCCTGACCCGAAGCCCAGGGCTGCTAGGCCAACTCATGCCGCTACCCTGGAGACATTGTGGAACAGAAAGGAGCAATTTTTTTCTCCTAATCTCTCAGGCAGAGCTAGATAGAATAGGTTTGTCTCCACCAAAAAAAAAAAAAAAAAAAAAAAAAACCACAGAAGTCTGGGAAATAAGCCCCTCAATGCCTCCCTCTGCGGGGGGGACTTGTTGCCTCTTTCTTCAGACAGAAGCAAACAACCAGCATGCAGTGAACTAGTAGGAGAGAAAGGGTGTGTGTGTGTGTGTGTGTGTGTGTGTGTGTGAAATAACCAAGATGACAGGGGAGGGAGTGACGGGAGGGGGAAGGCGTTGAGACTGACTTGGCCACTCAGAAGCTGCATGGTTCCCCTTCAGGAGACTTTTCCTGGGAGGCTCTTCAGGAACCAATGGTCGAGCTGCTCCTGACTTTGTATTAGCCTGACCTGCAGAAGGACTTTCCTAGAGGGCTGGGATCCTTATCCATGCACTATCCTCTTTGCTCCCAAACCTGGCTTTGTCATGAGATGTAGCAGCAATTGAAGTCTTTTGGTGTGAGCACTCATGGAACTCACAGCAACGGGAAGGTACAAGGGGCTCAGGTTAAACTGAATGGAAGACCCAATGGGGTCTCCCATAGCATCTGAAGCCCCCTCCCCACCTGTGTAAGCCCATAAGCTAAGTGGCCCTGGCTTGATAACAGGATGGACATTTATCTTCTGAACACCTCTGGGTTCCATCAGAAATATCAGTATAACACAAAGATGAGACTGTCATTACCGTCATAAACCAGAAACCCTCAAGCAAGGGCTTCCACTGTCAAAGGCTGAATATTTTAAAGCTTGTAACCTCACAACCCTAAGTGAGCAGGGACCTTATTGTCTCCTTTTACACATAAGGACACTGAGGCTCCAGGAAATGCCATAGAACTTCCATAATGACACAAGACTGTGCAACATGATTTGCCCCAACTTGGACCCCAGAGCCATCAAGAAGGGTCTTGATGGGGCAGAAATGAATCCCTATGTTCCAAGAGCTTCTGAGATGTTGCTTCCTCGCCTTCTAGAAATAAATCAACCTCACTAATCTGAAACTCTCTGTTCCTTTCTTTACTGCCCCCAGAAGAGCAGACTGGCCAGGACACCTACCAGGACTCCCCTGCAGGGTGGGCTTTCTGGATGGAAAACCAGCCCTGCTTCAACAGCTACCACAGAAGGTG